TATTTACCTGGCAGCAACAGGGAGATGTCTGCATCTGGAATTAGTACATTACATGCACCAGAGCCTGAGGAAAGTGAAGAAAGTCAGGTTTAATGCTTGGCTGAAACTCCCCACCCTTAGCAGAGATGTCTCACTGCCCATGGATCTATGAGAGGACCAAGCAACATAAAATAACTTCAAATATCTCTCCAGAAGCATTCAAAGATCATAATTTTAGGGGTTGGAATGGAGTTTAGGGATCATCCAGCCCCAACCCCCTGCCCTGGGCAGGGACACCTCCCACCAGAGCAGGTTGCTCAAGGCTTTATCCAGCCTGGCTTGGAACACTGGATTCAATGGATATACAAAGATATACAATGGATGAGACCAGGAAAGTAAAGCCAGAAAGAGCCTGAGGACAGGAGAGTGAAGAATCCACAACACAGGTCCCATCTCCTGGGGGTCAGTCAGACAGACATCACGAGGGTGAGTCAATGTCTCACTGTCCCACACTCCCAGCACCAAAGAGCTGAGACCTGGAGCAGCAAACAGCAGACTTTGCATCGTGCAGCTTTGATATTTAGAAAAGGACAAAAAAAAAAAAAAGTCTTGTTGCAGCTCACACCAGGTCTGTTATTTACCCAGGGGATAAATATTGACTCAGTCCTGTGTGTGTACACAATAGCCACTGTTTGCCAGGCCAGTTGCTTGCAGGAGATGGAATTTAGTTTCTCTGAGTGGACTCAGCTAGGAATGCAGCTGCCAGTGCTTCCACTGTGCTGTGTGTGGACATGGTGAGGGCTCTGTCTGCTCCTGCACACCGAGGACACGTGGCAAAACCCTCAGCAGTGGGTGCAGGGGGCAACAGCCACGTCAAGACCCTGCAAGGAGAGCTCAGAGCAGCCATGAAGGAAGGCAAACTTGCCAAAAAAGCAGTTCTGGAATCTCTGGGAACTCCAAGACCCAGAACTTCATCATGTCAACTACATTCTGCAAGTGTCTGGCCCCAGACAAAAAGGACTGAGAACTACATATGCCCAAACTCTGGGATAGCTCCTGGTTTGTCCCCACGTGGACATTTTTCTGGAAGGAAATTACCTTTATTCTGGAATGGAATGTCTATACTGGGATATATTCTTGTCATGGTTCCTGTGTAAACAAGCCCTAAAAATGAATGGAGCTGGGCTGGTTTTTTTCTGTTTCCATTCACCAATAAACACCCTCAAAAGGAGTTTCCACCCTGCTCTGAGTCCTGGTAACAATAGAAGTGGGAAGAGAAAATATTAACACTATTTTGCAAGAGGCAATTGCATGTAACTCCTCCAAAGAGAACAATGCTGCTCCAGGCAGGAAGGGGAACTCAAAAATCTTGGCTTCTGCACTTTTGGAAAGACAAAACTTTTGTTTTTAGCTTTGCCACGTTGCTTGGGGCAGGTCAGACTGGGGGAGCCCAACCAGACTCTGTGACACCAGGGATTGGTACTGCCCAGCAGACCCAGGGCCTGGGCAGGGAGTACCATGACCAGAAAAACCAGAATAAAAGGGGTTGGTGAAATCAGGCAAGAATTTAAAGGACTGTGCCTTGGTCAGCTTCATTTCCCTGGCAGGGTTAGAAGGAGGAAAGGGGCTGAGAAGGCTCCAAGCAGCCCTTACCAACACATAGTGCAACACAAAGAGGACTCCCCCACCTCATCCTGTCACTGCTGTGGCTGTCAGACTCCCACCTGACACCTGCAGACATCAAACCTTTCAGCCCTGGCAGTGGATTTCAGTTTTCTCTTGTAAAATGTACTTCCCAACCACTTCCCTGAACATGGGAGCCACCAGGAAGTACTTCTTTTGTGGGTGCAGTAGACTTATGGGCTGGGGAAGGTGATTAGCCTCTTGCTATGTCATAATTAGCCAAACACACTGATTTTTATTATTATAATTTGAGCAAAAACTTCTCAGCCATCTTTCCTCCAACAGCAGTTCAGCTAAGCACAAGGCCTGGACTTAGCTTCTAAATGTAGCTAGGAAATGGCATTTGCAGTATATCCTGATAGCAGAGAAAAACACTTGGAAATGCTCTATAGGTTTGAATTCCAGCCCCTATTTTTCTCACCTAGAGGGCACAGCATATTGGTCTCCCATCATTGGAAGGGCTCCAAAGAGAATGCACAGAAGGCAGGAAAATGGACAGAAGAATAACACTGAGTGTCCCTCTTAGCGCTCCAGATCTGCCCCACGGGGCAGCAAAGCCTACAGTGCTGAGGGCAGCAGGAAGTAGTCATCATTCAGTTTCTGTTCTGCAGCAGGTCGTCTGTAGGAACAAACTCATACAGGAGTTGGTTCTGAGCCTCTTCTCTTGATTTAAATTATGTGTTTCTGTTGAAAAGAGAACACAGTGAAGAAAAGTCACTTTCCTGTTACGTATCTTTGTGAGACGTGGCTCAGGCAGGGAAAAGATTAACAGGTCACTTGTTGTCCTGCTGGGGATGGAACTACTCAGGTCACAAAGGTTTTGACATGCTGCCAGAGCAAGAGGCTGTTCCTAGTGATGCCTTGGAAAGAGAGCAGCCAGGCAGGGGTAAAAATGGGGG